AAAAAAAAGGTGTTGTTTTACTATTAGCAGATAATAGTAAAACAACACCTGTTGGGAATTTGGGAATATACTGGGTATGTTGTTGTTGTTGTTGTTGTTGTTGTTTTACTATTAGCAGATAAGTTGGGTTCAATTTGCTGCTTCTCAGCACAAATTACCGCATAATTAGCTAGCCTGCATAATGGAGAAAGAATCTTTTTCCTTTTCACTTTTGCTATGCTAACCCCAACCAATTAATATTGCAATATAATGGACAGACAAACCTATAAGTGTTTGGTTTTAAAAGAAGAAGAAAATTAACAGAGCAAGCTCTGTGGAGAGAAAATGGTTGTTCAGTGAATCAACAGACTAAATCCTCATACATCTAATTACTAAACACAATGCCACTTTTTACTTTTTCAAGCTCTGAAGATTGGTACCTTTGTTTTTGCTTGGGGAGTTCCTGGCTTAGTTGTAGTTGTACTCCCAAATCCAAACTTGGGCTTTTTTTCAGCGGGCTTTAGTATTTGAAAAGAGCACATCAAGGTCTCGTCCACACTCATCATGGCCCCAGCATTATCGAACTCCCCACAGTAATTGGGGGCAGAGAATATAGTCACAAGCTGCCTATCAGCAAAAAACTCATATCCATCCTCAACAACCTGCAACAAAATTCTTAACGTTAATTTACAACCCAATTTCCATCATCCCCTCCCAAATTAGCAAGACGTAATGGCTTAATTGCAAGATTAGTATCTAATCAATTAGTATGAGGTAGCAATAATGGTCTCATGACTCCAGTCTCAAAAGAGTGTTCCAGGGTGTGTTTGTTTATAAAATTTTCTAATTCATATTCAATACATACTCAAAATCTAACTCAACTTTAAGTCAAATCCACTATCCTCAGTATTATCAATATAATTAAATAATAACAAACAACCATTTTTACACATCACTTCAACTTTAATTCACTATTCATCCACTCACATAATTTTATCTAACCATCACTTCACATCATCTCTCTCTTATTTTTACATCAAATCAACTTTAATTATTTTGTTGTATATTATATTAATATAAAACTCAAAATCTCACTAACAACTAATCATACCAACTTTTTCAAAATTAACTATGGTTAACCACGAAAACTCGTTCTGAACGAATATATTTGTATTCAAGCACGGCCAAAAAGTAGTCAAAAACTCCAAATTGAAGTCACAAGAGAGCATAATTACTATTTTGACAAAACTACATAATGGTAAAGACTGGAAATGTCACGCTTGGACATCAAACTAAAAAATACTGGACCAATAATTTCCAATATGGCATCAAGAAAATAATAATAATAATAAAAAAAAACCTGGTGGGCTCGGCAAATAAGGTCAAGGTCTTGCTTCTGGAGAAACTCCGCCACTTTATCTGGGCCAAACGTGTAAGACACGCCTCTGTCATTCATCCCCCACTCTCTCACATCTTTACTAGGGTCCGACCAAAGTAAATCACACAATAAGCCCGTTTCAGGCACGTCTGTTGGGCGCTGCAAATTTCGAATCTGATCGAGATCGTGAAGATCTGGTGAAAGCCCGCCATGCATGCACAAAATCTTCTCATCGATTAAAGCAGCAACAGGCAAACAGTTAAAACAGTCGGTGAAAACTTTCCAGATCCTCACGTTGAACCTCCTCTTGCACTCGTCAT